ATATAAAAAACTTGCCTTGCAAGTTAAGATACTTATCTTACAAATTCAACATGTTTAGGAGGTCCTATAGGATATCACCACATAGCTCTTAGTTAAGAGTATATATGGAGGCACGAGTGAAGCCTTCTTCATTCTTATCAATGCCTTTTTAGTCCTTAGTCTTATTTCAAGACTTTCTAGTCTTCTTGTTTTTGGCAATAGTCATTCTAGTTTAATATTATATCATCTTTGAATGACTTTTTAGTTTCTTTCAGTGACACAAGAAAGTATTGAGGATTTTCTTTCTTTGAGATTTATATCCTTGACACTAGAAACTGAAAAAGCATTTGAGTACTTAAAGAAAATATGCACCACAATTTGTATTTTGATTTATTCAAATCTTTTCAACCTATTGTTTTATAGAAATGAATATTTCAAATTTTACATTAAAAGAAAACTTATTAAAACATAGAAGAAAAAAAAATACATTGAATTGCATTCAAGTCCAGTGAAGCATGTCTCTATTTTATTTTGACTTCAACATTGCATATAAATTTAAGAAGCAACAATGATTATTAATTTTTTTTCAAGGTAATTATATCTTATGCCAAAAAGTAAAGAGATATTAGAACTACCTATAGAAAACAATCTTTGAAGCTTCATAAATTTTATATTTGAGCAATTAGTATATTAATTCTAAAAAATATATTTTTTTTTAATCAAGTTTTTGTAACCTTGATTATAGACCTTTTTAAATTTTTTTCATATTAAATATTACTTTAGTAAGATCTACAATGATTTAAATAAATATAAATTTGAAGATAATTTCATCTATTTTAATACCTACATATCTTAGAAGGACCATTGCACCTTTGTGTTCTCTAAATGTGTCATGAATTTTCAACCTCAAGATATTTTGGATTCAACTCGATATTAGAACTCATTGCTATATATTTTTGGTAGCCTCAAATATATAAAAAAAAAAATTAAACTCTCTTGCAACACATGTTCTAGATCAAAAAATCTTTAACATTACTATTTGGATTTCTTTAACCATTATTAGTTCTAAAGCAACTATGGTCTTTTATCTCTATAAACTTCATTACAAACCTCTTGCTATTAAATTTCTTTGAAACTACATTAGTAATTATTCACTAATTTATAAAGATGGTATATTTTACTTTTCTTATAGAAAGGCTATTTTAAATAATTAAATAACCAAAATTTTCATTAATAATATCTATTAATATAATAGATTATTAAATAATATTAGATTGGATTAAAGGCCACAATTTGTATCTAAGTTTTAGAAGTTATTTTTTAAAATATTTCAAAAGATATTAAATATTTTTTTAGTATTTCATCTATACATTGATAGCCAAATACAACAAGTCAATTAAACTATGAATAGGATAATTGGACATCTTACTTATTTGTTGCAAAGTTTGTCTATAATAATATAATTTATGCATCTATTTAATAAACTCCATTTCGTTCTAATATTAATTATTATCTAAAATTATATATTTTATTTTTGATAGATTCAAAAATATGGCATCAAATTATTTTATAAGCTAAACAGATGATATCTCATTTCTTTTAAAGCTTCAATTGAAAGAAGCCAAATTTTACTCCTGAGACTTTGTTGACATATAGAAGAAGAAATAACTTTGATTTTGAGTTTGAAACAAAGTATGGTTGTTGTGGTATAATATAAAGACTATTCAACCATTTGAAAAGTTTAACTATAAAAAATTATGATTAATTTCTATTCAAGAGCAAATAATTATGTTACTTAGCATTGGAACTACTAACAACTATAAAAGTACATCATGTTTTCAACACCTCTCTTTTAGAACCTTACAAAAATTAAAACTTATTAAGAAGAACTTAATTGCTATTACCTAATATTGAAGTGGATAACTATAAAGAATTTGAAATAGAAGAAGTACTTGATTCAAAGCTAAGAGAATGACAACTAGAGTATTTTGTATATAAGCAATGTTACATCCTTAGTAAGCACACATAAGAGCCAATTTCAAATTTAGTGAATGCATTGCAAAAGCTATAAGAATTTCATTGATAATATTTTTTTGGATCTATATTGAAAATATGTGTTAGCTAATACTTCCACCTTGCATACTTAAATATGATATATTTTAGACTTTGTAACATTTTTGTAAAAAAAAAGAAGTAGTTTTAAAAAAATAATTTAAAAATTTAATTCTTAAATAAACTAATAAATCTTAAAGTATTATTATAATATATCTTTTATTTAGCTTGTGTAGTTAGATATGAATAGTCAAAAAGACAATACTATACCATTCTACCAATATTCTATTTAGACTTAGTACGAATATTTCACATTTTATTTAGATTTAGTAAAAAAAAATCAAAGTTTGATATTAAGTCTTCAAATTTGTATACTTATTTTGATATTTGTATATATATTTATATTATATATATATATATATATATATATATATATATATATATATATATATATATATATATATTTTATTAAATTCTATTAAAAAATCTAATAAATATTCTATGAAACATAAAGCTTAAATTTTATTGATTTACAAAACTATAAAATTTTGATTTTATTTTTAAAATATAATATTAATAATATATATATATATATATATATATATATATACATAAATTTATTTAAAAATAACATCATGTAATATTTATCTTTATATATATATATATATATATATATATATATATATATATATATATTTTATATAAATAATACAACATTGCTTAAAATTTGTAACAATCTTATTTGCCTTTAGGTTGTAATGGTAAAAAATGCATTAGTAGATGATAGAATTGGCAAAGTTCCTTATTAACACATTTAGGTAGTCATATGCCGCCTTATAACCAATATGGAATATTTTACAAAGACACAATGGCACCAAATTAATACCAATTTCATTAGAACCAATGACTCTTTTATTTTTCATACAAAACAATATACAATCATAGATATAATCAAAAAGATCATAGAACTTAGTGAAACTATTGGCATTTAAGGCACTACTATACAAATGATTAATCACTCAATTCAAAAAAAGACCTTGAAGTCCCTCCAATGGCTTTTTATATATCTAAGATTCTTAGATATGTAAGTACTGCTTAATATTATACTTTTGCTACAGTGCCACTAATAGTTATCATAATAGCTTCAAATAATCACAAATATTTACATAAGTAGAAAGAAAGATAGAGAGAAGAATTTTTTATATCTATGATTTAAGTGTATTAAAATAAAAATATTAAAAAAATAATTATATTGAATTTTATATATATAATAAATTAATAAAAATTAAAGTTTTTTTTTTTTTTTTTTTTTTTTTTTTTTTTTTTTTGGTATTGGATTCTAAAAGACTTGAATAATTTTAAATTACTTCACGTACGTGCTCAAGTCATTAATGGGCATTACAATATGCTTTTAAAATTATATCATAATAAAAAAATGAAGTATAATATTTATTTGATATATATAATATATTTATATAGTAATTCTATAGAATTATTTATATATATATATATATATATATATATATATGATTTTTTTTAAAAAAAATAATACAACCTTTATAAAAAGAAAGTAAAAATTTTTAAACGACTTTTTTTATTTATTTAGAGAATGTAAATTAAATCTTATTTATTCAAAATTAAAGTTTTATATCGATTGTGATGATTTATTTAATACAAAACAATATTAAACACAAGACAAACTTTTTGTTAGTAATGAAATATACAAAAAATTGAATAAAGAATAATGTGAAGAATTCTTAATATTTTAACAAAAATTAAAAATAAAATAAAATACATATACATATACATCTATATTATGTTTAAGATTGAATTAAAAGTTACAAAAAAGAAGTTTAAAAAAAAATTACTAACAAGTTTACTTCAATAATGTATATCAAAGAATATTAAATTAAATAAAACTTTTACTTAGTGTTCTTAAGAAACCATAGCAAAGCATTTTGTTGTTAAAAAACAGTATTATATATATATATATATATATATATATATATATATATATATATATATATGTAAATTTTATTTTTGAAATTTGAAGGAGTTGGTGCTTCAATGAATAAAATATTATGAATGTAACATATATATATATATATATATATATACATAAGTATATATATTGCACTAGTTTTTTTTTTTTTTTTTTTTTTTTTTTATATTAAAATTGATTTATTAAAATAAGCTTCAAGTATAAAGAAAAAGTCTTATATATTTTAGAATTTTATTCTTGCTCAGCATTTGATGTTTAGTTTACAATATGCCTTACAAATAGTATTTTACTTTTACGTTAGTTAGGTTGTAAAAAATGAAGTATTTAATTCTTCTACAAGAATACATGCTGCTTATAGTTCTCTGTTTAAATTTTAAATTCCTTTTTAAAAGAAGACAACATACCTGTCATATTTCTGAAAATAGCTTTTGACTACTTTAAAAATGGATAGGAATGACCGTAATTTATTAGAGGGTTGCAAGTAGTTGCTAGAATAGCCTGGTTCAAATCTACAATGTAAATTTTAAACCTTAATAAAAAAATAGCACACAGACATCCTCGCTGTTTCAAAGGCAAATAAATCAAACTAAAACAACAAATCTCAAGAAATAAACTAGTTTAGGCATGCCTTAAATTTAGTTATTCAACAAAAACGGTGGAAGAAGAAGACATGGTTGACGACGTCATCACGCTGGTCAGTTCTACCGCCACCAGTTCAGCCTCCTTCGCTACGGTCCAAATTTACCAGACCAGCATATGCCAAGGAAAAGCTTGAATCTTCTTCCGGGCAGCCGCTGACTCGGCTGCCCGAATCGTTCTCCCATGTCGTTTTTTGTTTTGGGCAGAGGCCACGGAATAAGGGTGAGAACCCGCGCTTTCTCTGGGCATGGGGAGCCTAATATGGGGAACCCAGTTGTGGGTGTTCTACCGATAGTCAATGAGAAAAGGCTTTGGTGGCGGCCTCGATAAAAGGGAGAGGCTCTGTCTCGCTTGGCCAGACATCCGATCGTTTGGCTTGCTGTAGCGCATCCGCCATTCCAGGGAGCAGCAGAATGATGCTAGCTAGATTTTGATCAGACTGTGCAGAAAATTGCCCTCGCGGGTGTCGGATTTGTTCGCCGCTTGACAAGCAGAGCTGGGTATCGGTCACCGACGTTCGACATGGTGGTTCAGGTGATCTGTTCGTGAATGCCGGATGGGGCAAGGAGGTTGGCTGGAAGGCCAATCTGAATAATGGGTGTCTTCACGAGAGTAAACTTCGGGCTGCTGCTGCTGTGAGCGTGATCTGATGTGGTCTTGGTTGTGATGACGGGGTAGAGAGCGTGGTTTTTGCAGGATGTCTGGTCACGCGGTTGCTCGCTGGGAGGTGTTGTTGTTAAAAAGGGGACAAGAGGATAGGGTTTTCCGTTTCAGCAGATTAATGGGGCTTAGGCAGGGATTTCTGGTGGTAGAATCGACGCTTTGAGTAGATTGCGAGATGTGGCTGAAGTTGATTGCTTTTTGTTGCTGTATGGAAAGCGGTCTAGCGGAGTGAGTAGCTGAGTTTCCAGTGAGAGTTGCTTGTCGTCCGAGATGTGGACTGAAACTCGCTCTTGCGAATCGTGACCTTTCTGGAGTAAGTGCTGTGTGGTTAGAGCCATGGGCATTGGGATGGGGCTGGTATGAAACAAGTCCGGTGCGGAGTGTTTTGATGTAGAGAACGTTGTTGAGTTCGACGAGGCCATTGGTATGTTGGAGGCGGTTTGCCTTCCGATTTTGAACCTGCAAAGAAGTGTCCATACCACAATAGATGAACTAAGAGCTGTGAAACAATGCTTCAGCAATGACTGAAATTGAGAACTTTTAAGCTTCTGATGACTGGGGCCACTTAGAAATGTACACGCTTGCGATTGAGTTACTAAGATATAGTCGGTGGATTGCGAAAACAAGTGATCCAGATTACATCTGTTGCTGGTGGATGGCGCTGCCGCTGACTACACGTGCGCGAACAGCTTCAAGTTTAAGCTCGTTCCCCTAGGATTAGAATTTAGCACAATCACAACCTAAATGAGTTTGATATTGGGAGACTGAATGGATTAGGATCCGCATTACTTCAGTAAACTGTCGCGAATGATGCATTGCACAAGACAGTTGGGAAATCTGTCGATGTCTGTGTGCGTGACTGCATACTTCGACTAGATTCCGTAGGATTTGTATTGAGATTGAGGCTCATGGCTCGCAGATTTGTGAGATTCTCTTCTGATCGAATTATATATTTTGAAGTGGAGTAACGAATTCCAGTAAGCATCTTTGAGAGGAGATCGAGCAGACTAGTGCCAAGATGGCAGCCGGGGCAGCCGTCACTCAATCCGAAGATAGCGGTCATGACAAGCCGAATGCACAAATCCAGTTGGAGAAGCCGGTTGACACAAGTCCTCTCTACACGATGCAAGCGTTCTTCGATGGCAAGATGAAAGTAGAGGACTTTGCGAGATCGGAGCAAGAGCGGCCCAGTGTCCCGCATTATGTTTTTGATGACACGCTGCCTGTCATTGACATCGCTGCCATCAAAGAAAGATCCAGCGAAGAACGGGAGGCCAATGTGGCCAAGATGCTGATGGCGGCGAGGTCGTGGGGATTTTTCAGGATTATTAATCACGACGTTCCTGTGGAATTGGTATTAAACAATGCTCTGGAGCCTTCTTCGTCATCGAAGACCATGATTGTCAAGAGACCACGTGGATTGTCTGATGTTTTAGAAGTTAGTTGATAATAACAATTTCATTTTCAATCTGATGGAAGCCTCACTTTCTGGAGGCGAACCTCACAGGTGAAGCAAGTGGAGGCAAATGGCAAGCAGTTCTTTGCGTTGCCGATGGAGAGGAAACTTTCAGTGCGAGCGCCAGACTTCGTGTTTGGGTACACGGGCGGCTCTCCGATCAAGTGGAAATCAAAATGGTGGCTCGAAGGTCTCATGATCAAGGTGCGCAGAGGTTACAGTCTCATCGAAAGCGTTAAGAATCGCGATATGTTCAGTATCTTAGCTGGTACTCATGTTATTTGGTAGACCGTTTTCAGGCTTTGTCATGACTACAGTGAACCCAGTGATGTACAGGCTGGTAGGGTGAGTTCTGGATTGCCTTTTTAACTGCACAAAAACTACAGGTGACGGACGAGGCGTTGGATGATATGGTGAACCAGGTGTATCCACATGAGAAAGAATTCGCTGCACAGTTCAAGTGAGTTATATCATTAAACTAGTTTGTATAATAGTTGGAGCGAAACACATTTCCACTACTTTCTTCCATTTTTTATCTCATTTGGTACTCGATTCCGAATGGAACTGAAACTTCGAAAAACGCTCTGAAACCTGTAACGCGATTCGACACCTGGTTTTGAAACAGGTTTCATTGTTCTGAAAATGTTTTTGAGATGATCTGGAAATGCACGTCTCGGAATATTGATTCAGATCTGTTCAGATAACAATGCATGTTTTTGCGGAAGTTCAGCTATCAGATGTTCCAATCGGTCGTTGAAAACATGGATTGAACAATAATGCAGGAAGGATCTGAAGTCGTTCTTCGGCCCGATGCATGAGCTGTCGCGTTTCATAGTCGAGGAATTGACCGAGGGACTTGGCCTTGAACGAGATACTTACACCCGTCTAGAGACCCCGAACTCTAATTGCACTGGACGCATGAACCACTACCCGGTCTGCTCCGATCCAGACTCCGTGCTGGGGATTCCTGGCCACGCAGACACGCAAATGCTGGCAATTTTGTATCAGGATGATGTTGGTGGGCTACAAGTGCTCAAGGACGGTGAGTGGGTGGGAATCCGGCCCGACGATAACAGCTTCATCGTTAATATTGGAGATACCTTCCAGGTAACTTTACGAAGCTTGGTTTTGCACTGGTTTCTGATACCTAAGATGCTGTAGCAATTATGATATCTCTGCAGTTCACCAGTAATCCATCTTTTGAATGAGTGCTTTGCTTTCAGGCGATCACAAATGGGATTCTTCACAGCGCATCACATCGAGCTGTGGTGAATTCAAAGAAAGACCGATACTCTACTGTGTACTTCTACGGCATTGACAACTCCATCACTCTTACAGTGCCGCCAGGGCTCATCACCGAAGATCGTCCTCTTAAGTACCGTCCCTTTACAATCATGGAACACAGGAAATACATTGTGGACAACGAAGTCCCATTGGATGCGGTTCGGCACTTGCAGATCAACCCCGAAGCATGATGCTCGAAAGCTCTCCGGTCGCAGGGTCGTAAAAGCGCCTAGTCAAGTAGGCGCCACTGGAATCAGCTCATGATTACAGGATGTCGTGCCGCCTTGTCGCTCACTCAGTCTTCTTTCAATCCTTGTAGTCGACATCCACAGATTCATGAACCTCGCAAAACTCACATGGAGGACTCCTGAAGGTCAATGGCAATGCAGAGTTCACCTGGCTGACTCCTGCCTATTGGAATGATACTATTCACTGGAGAAATCGGTCATCTCGCCATGAATCCAGGAGGTCAACCGGCGTTGTTTCCTATGCCGATGTTCGTACTGCATCACTGTCGGTGCCTCCAGGTCCAGTTTCTTGCAATATGGGTTTTAATGTCGGTAAGCTGAGCATGCCTAAGGTCATCGCTGTATACTTGTGATCTCTTCCTGACCAAGTAGAATCCTAGCGATGAATCAGTTGAAGTGTACTAAAACAATTTGTACCTTTTCCTTTGTGTCCACAAGATTGAACACGTATTTCACCGTATTTGTTGATGTGTTCATCATCGCAGTCGTCGTGAATGCTGAACTATCATGTTACTGTTTCTTAATAATTGTTGTTAGCGTCGACGTTAGTGTCGTAATGTGGAGAAATGTGTGCGACAGGGTGCTTTCTGTCGGCGCATGAACCAAGGTCCATAAACAACGAAGAGGAAACTAGTGAAGCAAATGGATTGCTAAAGCTCTTTAAAATTAGGATTTACGTCTCGAAACTTACTTTAACTGTGGCAGATCAATGAGGAAGAGGCATCATAATCTTAGATGTCAGTATTTGAGAGTACTTAAAATTTAAGAATATTGAGTCTGTTGTGATGAAAATTGATTTGGGAATGTTTCTAAAGATATTTGGAGATTAATTATTAAATTTATATGGACTTTATATGGATATACATACTAAGAGATAAAGTTTTTAGGAACTATTTTTGTGTTAAAGTGTTTACAAGCAAAAATTTGTATCTTTGACCACAAATATAGTTTTTGTGAATATTTACTACTGATTTATTTAATAAAGTAAATATAAGCTATTTATTAAAGTGTGCCAAATAAGGGAAATGGATGAATCATGAGTTCTTAGAAAAAACTAGAAACTGTTGACAAAGTACTAAAATAGAATCCACAAAATGATATAACATGTTAAAAGAATAAATATAAGTCAAAAACAAAATTTGTAAAGAATGTTAAACAAAAGCAATAATTGTGAGTTGGAACAAAACAAGCATTGCATAAAACTGATTTTCTGTTTCAACCTAACCTCAAAGTTGGTCAAACTAACTCTACACTAAAACAAAATCTTTCTCTCCACTAACATCACTTAGTCAATCCATTTGTATGATAGCCCACATTGATTTTCAACCACATCTTCTTTGCCGAATTGTGCATAATTGTGTTTTTAATGTAAATATAACCAAATCCAGTTGCATGGTTGCAAAAACGAGAGATTCCAAGGTGCCACGTGGCTATTCAGCCAATGCCACTTGGTAGAGCGTGGCATCCACGTGGGATTTAGCACGAGGGACACCTTTGCAGCCAAAGCAACGAAGCGATCGTCCGGGTCAAGTTGTGAAGGTACTCCAGCATCGAATCCGAGAATGTCGAAGACGGCAGCCTCGACGGATCCATCGATCCGACGCTTATCCGCCTCGCCCAAGGGAGGTTGACATTTAAAACAAATTCCACGCAAAGCATATTCGACGAGGAGATCGAGTCACCTGGCACTTCAGGAGGCTTTCGTTCGAAGCTTCCTCTATCTAATCTTCTAGAAAATGAATCTCCGAAAACTTCGTGGATCTGGGCCTACCCGCCATCCGATCTCCCACCCGAAGGCCACTCTGCGCACCCGCTGTTGCTCTAGCCTTGCGACCTCAGGTTCGTTGTGTCATTGCGGTCGTCGATTGCTCCATTGTTGTACTTCGAATGGTATTCGGTTGCGATCCACATTCTTCTCAACAATTCCCTGTCAGGGAATGATCGGATTCTACCTGCAGTGTCCTCTCTTGCGGGGCCATGATGGTTATGTACCTCGATCGATTGCAGCCCACATGGAAGGTGATGTTGACGTCGTTGGCGAACTCGCTCCCCGGCCCACAAGACATGGAACACCCTCTGCTGTAGACAGCAATATGATAGGAAAACATGATTCAGTTCAGCCCGAAACATGAGCGTTTTGGAACAAAAGAAGACGAAGGATCGAGATGAAATTGTGCGTTTCGGGTGAAACATCTGCCACGATGTGAACCATCCTCCCAACGACTTTTACTTCGAACCGTCGATGGGTTTCTATGTTACAAACATGGTTAAGTTGTTTGTCATTTGTTTTACGTGCAATTAATAACTGTGTACTAACCATGAGAGCAATCATCTAGGAGCTTTATCGAAGGAATATCACTAATAAATAAACCTATGATGACACACGGGGTAATGGGTATGTAATTTGTTGCCATTTTCCTCCATGTACTAATAATTTTCTCGAGCATTGATTACTAAATCAAATCTAAGGGCACAACAGAACCTGTAAAATAGGACAAGTTGGTTGGATGTAAAATTAGAACGATCACTTTATCTCTGCACGTGTTTATACGTTCCGAGATTCCCTGTCCGAAAGAAGAGCAGGAATAATTATGATAATAGTATTCGACTTAAATTTTGCCTAACTATTCTTTTCGTGGACCATGGGATGCAACAACAGCTTCACTCACTTACTAATGTATGTTGTATGTTGGGAAGGGAAAAAAGTAGGAAAGTATACAACAATAGTTGTGTTCTTTGTCTTGCCCGGGTACAATGGCTTCCTTCCTGGTTTCAAGGTCGACAATATTCTAGAAAGTCATGTCTACGAAGTACACCTAATTGTCACCTCCCTAGTTATCATACTGAGGAAGCTAAGTAGAAGTAAACTAAGAAGAAAAAGAATTGGCGCATATAGACATACGTGACTCTGGATGTTTTTAGTGTTCTAAAGAAAAATGTTGTAGTTTTTCAACGAGTAATACTGGTTCCCGTTTGCTTCACATACACAAATTCTGCTTTACCTACTTCCTGCGCTTGAACGACTGCCCCCCACATTGGTGATGTGATCATCGCGGCGTCATTTGGCCGAAGAGTTGTGTCTACTGAAGGGAATACATGGGATGGAACAAGTAACAAACAACGATGCAACCATTGGATCGCACGTGGGGAGTGTGAAAACATTTCGACATATGTAGATGCGTCACTTTTATTGAGGTGCGAAATGGGACGTTTCAGAGGCGAATGCTTGACCAGGTCGCCAGGGAATCGAACCTAACGCCCCTGAGACGCTGACATCCTGTAGCTGGATTTCTGCATCGATAAGTGGTCTGCCAACTTGCGTTAAACACTCTCTACCTCATATTAGATTTATCGACGTCTGGAGTTTGTGCGCATGCAGCCGGTGGTAACAGATCCCCAGGCTTCTCTAGCCCGGGTACGACCGTGACATCACTCGTCTGATGTCAATGGACCGACGTCAGCGTTCTAGTGCCAATGAACCTAGTCATTCTGGATGTTTCTGGCACAACCTTCTTCACTCCGGCTATAACTGTTGTTTCCAGTGTAGTGCTCTGTAGAATCCTGTATTTCAGGGAAAAAGGCGGTTCACGTCTCTAAGTTGGTTACAGTCTGTAAGAAATGATAGAAGAGCTGAATATAGGAAACCATGTGAAGCATCTTTAGCAAAGCGCTCTCAATTTGGACACGATTTTATTTTTAGTTAGAATAAGACATCATCCCTCCGGCCAAGATGACAAAATGATACACATTGATGACTTCAGGAGCTGAAATTAAGGCTGGCACCCAGATTACCACATCTGCCAACCAACTCAGCAGATCCGATCTGAACAACGACACCTTGTTACTGTGTTTGAGCTAGGCTTGGACGACCTTTTTTGAATGGCCTTTGCAAGTGCTGAGGCTTTCGTCTGGCACGATTTTAAAGCACCGTTATTATGGGTACTGTGACGGTTCAGCGGTCCAAAATACGTTTCTACCCTACGTGAAGCTCAATTTACAGGATCACATAAAGAAAGAATGTTGGATATTTCCTCTAAGGCATCGTCACCCATGTTGGTTCCTGGGGCCCGCATTGTGCACTTCTTTCACTCGGTTTGTCGTTTGTCATCATAGGACAAAAGAATGCACTATCTCATTGGATGGATCTTTGTCGTTACTTAGGAGTGGGACAAATAGCCTGTGGCTTCATTGCTCCGCAGGCTGAATGTGAAAGCCGGGAAAATGTGAAGGAGAATGTCTTGTATCTGAAGGGAATTTCTTTCTGCTTGTGTGCAGAGGATCGGATTCCCCAGCTAGTGTCACGTTTCAGCTTTCCCACATGAAGTTTGGAACACTTGGTTCAGAACGGAGCTTTTAAGTCCTCGAGATCGTAAAGTTGGAAAGGCTTGTTTTGTTTTGAGTGTTCAGAGGCTCAAGAAACGTTTTGCTTCCCTGCTCACGTCGGAGAAGTTGGTGTCACGTTTCAGCTTTCCCGCATGAAGTTTGGAACGCTTGGTTCAGCAGGGAGCTTTTAAGTCCTCGAGATCGTCAACTCTTAAAGCCTTGTTTTGTTTTGAATGTTTAGAGGCTTGGGAAACGTTTTGCTTCCCTCCTCACATCTGAGAAGCTGGCGTAACGTGGTCGACCAAACCCTTAATCAGTTCTGCCAGTGCGAAGGGATCTCGTCTTGTTTCAGTATTCTCTGATGTGTGGAATTCGGAACTTCTGAAGCAGGGAAAGAAATCCGAGTGGGAAGCGTTCTGACTGAGCCTGGAAAAAACCGAGTGAGGAGGTGAGGCTAGTGATGGGGTCAAGTGAGTTGTTGATTCATGGCCAAGATAATCGTGGAGGCGGTGAGGTGGAAAAGAAATCGGAGATTCCGCTCTACACAATGCAAGCCTTGTGGGACGGAAAAATATCGCTGAAGGATTTTGAAGTGGTAGGAATGGATAAACCTATAATACCTCACGATGTCTTTGAGCCGGATGAAGCGTTACCCGTCATCGATGTAGAAGCGCTCCTTGGTGCTGACAACGAGGCTCGACTTGAGAACATGGTCAGAATGCTAGAAGCAGCAAAGACGTGGGGTTTTTTTAAAATTCGCAACCACGGCGTGTCCCTGGAAGTGGTATATACCTCGCACCCGACTCTTTTCCAAATGTAGAAAACGCGCGAATTGCTTTGTAGTTCACTTCGATTGGTTGGTGAAGTGGCTTCAAAGCATAGTACGGCTGTGGGGCTGTCGGGTTCGGCAGTCTGGAAATGATATACTGGCCTTAATGCCCTAGCTCACATAGATAGAAGTGTCTCATTTCAGCACATAGTGTGTTAATCTCAACATTAGATTGGTTCTGCATACGAGCCAATCAGCTTGAGTTCCAGTTCACTTGAGCAGTCTTCTTCTATCTCCAAAGAGAGCACCTAAAGCGGAGAGAAGTCGCAGAACATGCAGAATTCATAGCAGCGTTGACAAAAAGTAGTTGTTGTAGAGATTCAATGTCAACACACTGGATACGAACCACTTTCATGTGCAGTGGATGACTGACCAATGTGCGAGGATTGATATACAGGTGAAGAAAGTGGAGGCGAATGTGAAGAAATTCTTCGCATTGCCCATGGAGAAGAAACTATTGGTAAAAGCCAACAACTTCTCTTTCGGGTATGTTGGGGGATCGCCAGTCAGCTGGAAATACAAGTGGTGGCTAGAGGGGCTACATATGAAAGTAAACATTCGACCATCTAGTCAACCAATTATTCCTGCACTCTTGTTCAAATGCTCGCACTTGTGACTTATTCTTATTAAAGGCTTCCAGTATCATTTCTGAGCCTGCAATCCACCTGTCTGATGAACTCTTGGCAGGTTCAAGACGAGGCAATAAAGAATATTGTGGACCTGGTGTGGTCCGATGATGAAGAGTTTTCTACAGAATTCACGTGAGCACAAACTCCCATTTTTCCACGTGTTCCTCATTCGAACTTGACTATGATGTCACATCAGAGCAGGTTTAAATCGCATATTTCTAACTTCCGTCATCGAATACGTACAACAATGCAGAGCTGATTTGACAAACTATTTCGCCATCATGCGAGATCTGTCACGTCTGATCGTAGAATGCCTGACTGAAGGCCTCGGCCTTCCCCGTGACACTTACACCAAACTCGAAACGCCGAACGCCATTTGCAACGCACGTGTGAATCACTACCCCGCATGTCCCGATCCGTCCAGTGTGTTCGGCATCCCAGGCCACACCGATCCCCAAATGCTGTCTATTCTGTACCAAGACGACGTCGGAGGCCTGCAAGTGCTCAAGGATGGCAAGTGGATCGGCATTCGTCCCGATGACTCTACCTTCGTGGTGAATCTGGGCGACACTTTTCAGGTAAGGAATCACTTAGCCATGACTATCACCTCCTAGAATGTAAATTCTTTCAACTTCCAGTAGCACTTGTAGCACAACTTTTTAGGCTAATTCATTTACTTTTAAGCAGGTCATTTCGAACGGCATTCTGCACAGCGCAGCCCACCGAGTCGCGGTGAACACCACCAGGTCCCGGTACGCAACCATCTATTTCTACGGGATCGACAATGAGATTCCACTCTTCATCCCACCCCAACTTGTCACTAAAGAGAGGCCGCTTAAGTACCGGCCCTTCACTGTAAATGAATATAGAGAACACCTAGTGATAAAACAAGTTCCTATGGATGGCGTCAAGTATCTAGAGATGGAGCCCGAGATCCAAGACGCTGCATCGCCATCCAACTCCTCACAATAACACACTTTTTTCGAGTTATGTAAATTCAAAACATGTAAGCTTCCGAGTGCTGAAGGTGTAGAGATTCAGTCAGACCTGCTGTCCAACCTGAATTAAGAAGAGTGTCTGACATGGTACGTTATAGATGACTACTGAAGCCAGGTGATTTAGAGCGAATCACCTGCAACATGCATGTCCGGAACTCAAAGAAAGAATAACACCCCATGTTAGTGACAGACACTTAGAGAATTATGTGGAGTGTACACGTTGCAGTTCGTCGCAGTGAATTCCTGGGCTGGAAGATTTTCAGCAAGTGCGTCTGATTTACTGGTGCATTGTCGATACGGGGTTGTTTCTTCGGATGGTGGAGTCGGACCCGGAGCTTCTGCACTACCTCCAGCTGAATCTCGTGTGCTTTGTCCCGAGTGCACCTGAATTGTCGGAGTAGGTTTCCTTTGTCCAGTTCTACTCCTTTACGAGTGAAAAGTGGGATTTTATTAGCACACATGGAATCGGATACATTTTATTCTTTTTCGACACATGACGAGTATTCCCGTTGCATTGATAGATTGCAACCGGATACGTTCAACGCAAAGGGATAGGTAACTGAAATGCTCATGCCTACCCGAAATAGCGAATCAAGTGGCCTATATTTTCAGCTAAATCTCTGCATAGCCCAGTGTCGAACCATCTATTCTGTCGCCACAGAGCCCATGGATAATTGCTCTAGGCTGGAGTATACACAGTAAATGTTAAAGGAAAAGAACACGCTGGCTTAGTAAAGCAACTGTAGAAATTTTGCTGCAAAGCCAGTATGTCTTCCCCCCTTCTTTTGGAGAAGATGTGTATCGATCCGTAAAGTATGCAATCATCGTCCAGTAAAATACAATTGGACGAAAAGTGGCATTGAATGCGTATTACACAAGCCTGTAAAAAGACTATCAACCTCAAGGGAGAAGGACTTGTATCTAACTTCTGTCACAATATTTTATTTAATGGCATTACTGTATCGCATTGTCGCCACCCCTGCAAGTGAATTGTGCAAGTTTTAGTGTACTCCGTATCAATTAGAACATCGACATAGGCAGACCAATGCCGAGAAAACAAGTGAACAAGGGTCAGGCTGAGAATTAGATCAGGATTGGGGTAGTAAATCAGAATCATGTATAGATAGAGTGAAGACATTGTGAAGGTAAAGATAAAATGTTGTGTCAAATATTGTCAATTGTTGCTAGTTTTGTAATGTGTGGACTAATTTTGCATCAATTCAAATAATGAATTGAGTTTCTTGGTTACAAGAAGCAAGCAATTGTAGTGCCATGAAATCAAATTGGAAAATAATACTTTAAGTTAAAAACCTAATTTAAAAGACATGTTACACAGCATTATTTTTTATTTTTTATTTTTAAAAAAACATTTGTGCATATTTCAATATCAGAATGTCAGTTTTAATGTGAGTGCAATATGGAATCCTGTTGCAAAGATAGATGAAATTGAACCTATCCAGATATTTGATTGTCTAACATTAAACATGATTATAGAATAATTTGAAAGAGTAACCAATTAAATAGTTGTGGGAATTGAAGAAGTATAGAAAGAAAATCTTGGCAACCATAAAAAGAACTTAAACTTAGATTTTGTTTGGTATTTAAATCTTTAGTTGGATGATAATTGGAAATACAAGTAATTAACTTTTTAAATAAGAAAATAAATGCACTTATAAAAACAATTCATATATAAGGTGCAAAAATTGCTTGGTAACAAACCAAAACATTAAATGGTTGTTTAGTTCTTATTAGATACAAATAAAATCTTTCAGAAAAGAATATAAAAAAAAATAATTATTGGTGATGTTTTAGAAGCTAGTATCAACAAAATAAATAAATAAATAAATAAATAACCTTCAAAGAATCTTCAATAATTAAAAATCAGCTCATATTATTTTAAAACAATAATGCATATCACATATATGGTACAAAAGATAGATTTTGATTATTGGGGTTTAAAAAGAAATAAAATTATAAATATTTGAAAAAATACATAAGATTATTACATCCTTAAGATAGTACAAAAAGAATGAAAACTTAGGTAATAGCAACCTTACAAAAATCTAAAGAAGAACTATAAGGACTAAGATGGTAAATCAAATCCTAGTATTAGAAAAAATAAAGTGTTTAAAGTCATATCTATTTTAGTCTATAATTATTTCAAAAGAGTTTATTTTGACTTAGGCATGAAATAAAACTAACACAATTTAGATATCTAAGATATGACAAGACAATCAAAAAGTAATTAGTAGTAATAAGAAAAATTATATATTTTTTTGGATTTTAATATTTTATTAATATACACCTATATATATGTATGTATATATATATATATATATATATATATATATATATGCATAATTTATTATTTTAGATATTTCTAATAAAAAATTGGTGCAATATTAAATAAGTTCATAATTATTAAAATTTATCAGTCACTTGGTTTTACAAACAAGAATTTATTAAAAAAATAGTAATAAAAAATAAACTAAAAGGCATAAGTTATATAACATAAAAGAAATAAAAAAATCTAGTTAATCAAGACTATTCAATCATGTAAACAAAGTAGGAATCAAATAAAAAATATATTTTGATTAATACATTTGTGGAAAGAATAGTACATTAGCTATAATATCTAAGATACACTAACACTATTGTAGCATACTTTCATGTATAAGATATTTTGATTAAAAAAAAGACAATATTTTGGTATTGATTAATATACATAAAGTTGATTGAATTTGTTTCTATATTTGTTGTAAACTAAATCAAACTTACAATTGAAACATTATTAATTAATTGTTCCAAAATATATTGTATTTTGGTTTTAATTCTTACATGTCTCAAGCTCAAGGTAGAGAATGATTGAAATTATGATATTCATAAATAACATTGTAATTAATGTTTTCATTCTTGAAGCATATTATAATTAATAAAATTTTAAGGTCAAACTGAGAATAAGGATTTAATGGTTACTTGTATAAATGTCTTCTTTTATAACTTAAAAAGAAAGTAGAGAAAATAATATTGAACATGGTAGAGACATTATAATACAAGACATTTAAAAGTACCAAAATTAAAAGAAGAATTATATTATTTTAATAGACTTAGAAGTATATATATAAAAAATATTATTTCCATCCTAAAACCTAAATTATTTTTTAATTTCTTATTTTATTATAAATAAATATCTTCTTAAAATTTTAATATTTGATTAGTATTATTAAAATAACACTGGAAAGATATATATTTAAGATTTTTTTTAAATGATATTTTTATTTGTATTTTGTTTCAAAAAAAAAACTTTAAATATTCTATTGTTGTCACTATATATGATCACATTAAAAATTTATACTTTTCAAAATTAAGATGATAAATTCAACTTAAAAGCCATTTGGAATCCAAACTTGTTAAATCAATTGGAAGAAAAATTATTTTGTACATAAATCACATAAAAAAGACTACTAGAAAAGAATTAATAGTAGCCTTGCACAAAATAATTTGCTTGCAAGAAGTACTTGGTATTGGATTAGATAACTAAAAGACTTAAAAATTAAATTCTATCATGTTTTAAATTTCAAAGAAAGATAGGAGTTTGAGCCACATATGATAAATCTTAATACATTGAGTTAAAATCTTTGTAGTTTTAAAAATTAGTAAAAATTTTAAAGAAATTATTGGAAGAATAGGCTAAAATCTAATATAGATTTCCATAGGATGTGAAAGCAAGAAAAACAATAGTTATGTAAAAGATTACAATTTTAGAATAAAAATAATAACAGTAAAAAAGTTTATTAAATAATTATAACAAGTACTAACATAAAAAATAAAAAACATTATTAGAAAGTATAAGAAAGAAAAATTATATTAAAAAATGGATATAATTTTTTTTTAAAGTGAGCTTTAATAAGTAATTATAAGTATTTTTTTAATTGACTAAAGGTTGTGAAAGTGCAATGCAAAAGGCATGTAAGCAAGAAATATGCAACCTTACTTCTTCCATTATCATTTTAAAATCCACTTTTGATAATAATAATGTATTATTAATTTAATATAATATCAATATATAAATTTCAAAGCTATAAATTAAAATTTCTAAGATAGCATAAGAGAAAATCCAAAAAGAAGAGATGCATAAATCAATAAGAAGTGGCATTATCTATAGTAATACTACTTTCTAGCCATGGCTAACAAAATTAAGTAATCAAGTTATCTCTTTAATTTAATTTAAATGTTTCTTATATAAATTATATTCATTTATTTATTTATTTATTCAAAATTTTTATTGATATAATATTCATCTCCTACCACATCCAAAATCAATCAATTTGGTGAATTTTAGTTAATTATAGACCATAAAAGGTCAAGTTCTTTAGATAACACCATATGTAAGAATTAAAGTAATCTTCATTCGATTTCTTTGATTAATAAATTCAAACATTATTTTATGTAATATTAAAATTTAATCATCTATAAAACAAAGAATTATTTTTTGAAGAATTCAATTAATTTTTGATGTTTTCTTATTTAAAAATATTAGCCTTATAATAAAAATGAATTCAAATATTTAAAAAGTAAATTACAACTAACTGGAGTTTTTTAGACTAAAAGCTACTCTAAGTTGTATTAAGATTATAAATGGAGAAAAAAAAGTTATGTTCATTTTGATTTATTCATTTAAAAATTATTCAGTAACAAATATTGGATTTTTCATAAATGGTAAAATTTTATAGATTGAAAAAAAATTCTTTAAAAAAACTCAAAATTAAAAAAATATCTATACATCCGATAAAATATATAGAGAAATATGGTAAATTTTATGTCTACAAACTGTTTTTTTAATTTATTGGAAAAGATTTGAACACAAAAAATTCATATTATTCTATTACCTAATATGTAGTATTAAAATGCACCACACATTTGGATGTAGAACCTTATATATAGTATGAAAATGTACCACACATTTAGTTTTAGATTTTTATTGTATAATTGTCTTATAATAAAAAAATAAGGTGCTTATTAAAAAATCCTAATAAATCTTAACAAGCTCTAAGCTTATTATAAATTCTAATTAGCAAACCACAAAATAATGTTATATTTTTTAGACTTTTAAAATTTTAACTGATTTTTAATATTAATAAATAATATAAATATTTTTAAATGGCACACTTTATTTTTATTTTCTTTTAGATAAGAAAAATCTTAATAACTAAAATAATATATATATACATATATAAGATCCACAATAGTAAAATTCTTGTTGTTGTGGATTCATTCCAAAAACGTCATAGCCTAGAAGACCCTTCTTATTTAATCACAAATTATGTTACTTGAAATAATATTAAATATCTTTTGCCATTAGTATCAAAGACAAGAATTCAAAAAATGTAAATAAATAAGTGAAACATTTTTTAAAGAGAGATGACAAAAAAAGAAAGAAATAAATATGTATATTCAAGAAGAAACTAGAATAGCTATTGCCAAAGATTAGACAATTGGAGACTCTTGAAATTATAGTAAAATTAACAAAAGAATTGATAAAAGTGAGGAAGGTGTCACTCTTGCCTCTACACGTATTATCTAACTACAGGCTAAATAATAACATTCTATGAGACTTCTAATATATATCCAAGTTGTAGACTATATGTCTAACTTCTAAGATATGTTTCTTACATATGTACTACATGATATCATAGTTATAACTAATATTAATAATTACTTAGATAAGCGGAGTCAAGTAGAAAATAAGTAAAAATGAATAAATTATATAATATCTTATGGATATGCTTCTTAGAAGCTTTATACATGCAAATTTGAATTTATATATGTTTGTACATGATTGATAGGTTGAAAAGTTGGCCAAAAAATTGGCC